GCAAGAGAAAGTTTACAGTATACGAAATAAATACCCTAAAGTAGCGACAAGGGTTTTACAAAGCTTGCATCTGAGCTCCTCTCTGCTTGATATTTCCGAATTTTCTCAAGCAGAAAGCTACAGTTCAGACCTGGGGGTCCTAAAACTTAGACAAGCTCACTTTTGATCTCAGTCTCACTTTTTCCAAAGAAATATATATTTGAAAAGTGAGCCTGAGATCAAAAGTAAGCTCGTCTAAGTTTGATGGTCCCCAGGCCTGCAGCTAAGTGTGTTAATAATTGCCTATGTATGTATCAGTATGAAAAAAGTCGCTTAGCATATGACTTAATGATGAATTATATTTGTTGAGAAAATCAATCACCGTCATGATTACTTTAAACGAAATTACTGATATTCTTGCTTCATCGACTTGTTTGTCAATAACTTACCTCGTTTTAGAAATTTTCTGTAAGAAGATCATGCACTTTCGTATCGAATCAACACAGAGATATATATACCCCATATGACTTAATGATGACAAAGATATTAATATATTGCTGCATAAGTGAGGGGAGTGGACTATTGAAAAATCATAGTAATCACCTTTATCATAAAGCTTTGATGTTATGTAAGGATTGATGTCTTTTTCTATTAAAAGATCGAAATATGCAACAAATTCGTCAGGCTCTGTGATATCTTTAATTTTAAGTTTACCAGAATATAACATGTCGGCATATAAATGAAAATCACCATTGTTAATTCATAATAAGTCGTCGATATATCTTATTGCTGAGTAGAAGGCCTTGGTCAGCATTTTCTTCCTTTCAGGTTTGAACAGATTCTGCTTTATATGAATACAAAAATAGCTCTGCTCACAACGGGGTGCAATTGATTACGATTGGAATTTCAGTAGATTGTTGGAAGATGCCTGGTATTGTCTATCAGAGACTCAAGTATCTTTTCATATCAACTTCAAGGTATATGTGCGTACTATAGAACGTTTTAACAATTTTGCAAATAAGCAATGACAAGACAAGTGAATTGACGAATTCCATTTTTCTTGAAAAAGCCGCTCTCAGTGATGTCAGAAACCCTCGTCTAAAATTTCTAACAACCCTCGTATTTTTGATTGTAAGGATTATTATGACGTTTTGGTATCCAACATAGAAATTTAAATTCATTTTGGTCATTTGGAACATTAAAAAAAGTCAAAACTATTATAGAATTTTGAAGATTTTCACCTTAGAAAGGGAAGTATGAGTATAAGTACGTTGGATTACCAATTGTAGAAATAAATCCAATTTCCTTTAAAACACATTTTATATGCGCCTCACAAACAAGACAGTGTTGTTACCTGGTTTGTCAGCAGGGACCAGACGCTTTTATTATGTATTTTATCTAATTCTATTTCCACTTCTTGATTATTGAGGACAGAAGGATAGATGTTTCCATATTGCCTCTCAATCGCTTTATCTGCGATTTTAGGTCACCATACTTCTGACTCATTTATTCCATTCTGACAAAATTTCAAGGTCTTTACACACAAAGGAATGTAAGCAATGTATATATTTATTCTAAATGTATCTTTTAAGCAATAGTTACATAAAAATATAAAACAATGGAACTGTCACAATGCATTTGTCCAGTTGAAGTCCAACTTCCTTTGAGTGCAACATAAAATTGAGCCACTATATATAGGCAACCATTTCATTACAAGGTTTAAAAAACACTACATTTCATATTTTACTTAGCTGACACCGGTACATGTATAATTATGTCCTTTTACATCTCAAAATTCCGTGTTTATCCAAATATTTTTGACACTCCATCAAATCAATGATTTAGAGAAAAAAAAAAATTCTATTTTTTGCACTCTTATAAACATGTTTTCCCTTTTCATGATAAAAGTTAACAAAAAATAATTTTTTTGATATACAGCCGTTCGTAACTGATGCACAACGCGTCTTCAGATTACAGCATTAAAAAGAGTCATGAATTTCATTTTTACATAAAATTTGAGATATTTTAGTTATACAGTGCTGCTATCCCAGAAGTTGACATGGGATGGGACCGGATAGGATCCAGGATTGAGGATTCACGATAAAACATACAGAAGAAAATCCAATCCTATCCTATCCTATCTGTTGATAAATGCTGTATACTGTATTTGGAACGGGTTCGGAATTCGGGTCGGGTTCGGTGTATGATTATTATGTTGTATGTGTATTGAATAAACGCATGTTGTTGATCGTCACAGCTATTAATTATTTGTCCAGATAGCACGAATTAACATGGTGGCAGCGGTGCGTGGACTCTGAAAACGTCTCAACGCTCCATATCGGCAGGCGAAATGTGATTTTTACCACTACAAACTGATATTTGTACAAGTAAAGTTTGACTTTTGTGCAACCACGTGCGTCCGGGACCCGCCATTTGCATAACATGGGCGAAGCAGAACCAACCCCAGTGCAGGTATATAACTGTCCTTTTCGATTACCGCCTGAGTTAGAATTAACAACAGGAAATGTATCAGAAAATTATAAGAAATGGAAAAGACAGGTCGAGGTGTATCTCGCAGCTTCCGGTGGCTTAGAGAAGGCCAAAGAAGTGCAGGTAGCCATAATACTCAGTTGTGGAGGCCGCCACGTGGTAGAAATTTATGACCAATTCAAGTGGGACAATGTCAACGACGAGAATGACCCTGAAAAACTGTTTGAGAAATGACAATCTTATTGTAACCCCAGATCAAATGAAGTACTTGAATCACACAGATTTTGGAAGATCCATTTGATAGTTTTCTCACAGATCTGAAGACCCGTGCAGCATCTTGCAACTTTAAAGAACCTGAAAGAATGATGAAAGACAAAATAGTGTTCACGGTCACTGGAAAGTTACAGAAACTTCTACTCAGAGAGGACAAACTTACACTTGACAGAACTATACAAGTATGTAGGGCGTATGAACAATCGAACAGACAAGTGAAGGAACTACCTGAAACCACTCTGAAAGTGAACAAGCTACAGAAATCTGACAAGTTTATGCACAGTAAACAGAAGACAGAGAAAAAGAAGGAAATTCCAAAGACTGAACAAACTCTATATAAGAAGAAGGACTGTGAATTCTGTGGGTACAAACACGAACCAGGGAAACAAAAGTGTCCAGCATGGGGAAAATGTTGTGAACAGTGTGGTGGAGGGAATCACTTCAAAGCAAAGTGCAAGAAGATACATTCAGTCAGTCAAGAAGAAGAATTCAACGAGGACCAATGGTTAAAAGCTGTAAGTTCTGGTGGCAAAGAAATGACTGCAATAATGCGTATCAACGAGTGTGACATTAGATTTCAACTCGATAGTGCGGCAGATGTGAACACAATTTCTCAGCGTTATGTCCGCAAGGAACAATTCAAGCCTACCAAAATCCGCTTGAACATGTGGAATAAGACGTCTACATGTCGACCCAAATGTGAAACCCAAAGCTCTTCCCTGCAGGAAAATACCTATTGCACTCCAGAGTTTGGTACGAGATGAACTTCAGAAGCTTGAAGATAGAGGAGTACTCATTCCAATTACAGAGCCTACTCCATGGGTTAGCCAGATGGCTATTGCTCGGAAAGCCAACGGCAAGCTAAGACTGTGCATTGACCCGCAAGCACTCAACACAGCATTGATGAGAGAACATTATCGCTTACCTGTTCTTGATGACATTCTACCGCAGCTCAGTAAGGCTAGAACCTTTACAAAACTTGACGTCAAAGAGGCTTTTTGGCATGTGAAGTTGGACGAGGAATCCAGCAGATTAACGACAATGATAACTCCTTTTGGAAGGTATAGATGGGCAAGACTACCTTTCGGACTAAAGGTATCAAGTGAAATATTCCAGAGGAAACTGGATGAGGTATTCGGAAAAATGACAGGCGTTTTCAGTGTGGTGGACGATATCATCATAGCAGGCTGTGGGAAGACCGACCGAGAAGCTGAGCACGACCATGATCTAAAATTGAGAAAAGTGTTGGAGAGATGTGAGGAGAGACACATCATCTTGAATAAAGAAAAACAAGAGATTGGACTCAAAGAAATCTCATTTCATGGACATGTTATTTCCAGAGATGGAGTGAAAATTGATGACAAGAAAGTAAAAGCCATTAATGACATGCAACCTCCTACTGATGTTTCAGGAATCAAGAGATTGTGTGGCATGGTCCAGTACATGGCAAATTTCCTTTCAGACCTTTCAACCATAATGCAGCCACTCAGAGAACTCACTCGCAAAGATAAGGCATGGCATTGGTCTAAAGTCTGTGAAGCAGCACTTCAGAGAATCAAGAAGATGCTGATAGAAACTCCTGTACTAGCTTACTTTGACCCCGGAAAGGAGGTAGTAGTAAAAGTGGACAGTAGTAAAGACGGCATTGGTGCAGTTCTCCTTCAGGACGGTAGACCGGTGGAGTATGCATCTAGATCACTGACAGTGTCCGAGAGAAACTGGGCGCAGATCGAGAAAGAAGCGTTATCTATGTTATATGGTCTGGAACGTTTTGACCAATATACATATGGCCGTAATGTGACGATACAGAATAACCATAAACCATTAGAGGCCATCCTGAAGAAACCTCTAGCAATGGCACCGAAGCGACTACAGAACATCATGATGAGATGGAACCGGTACGACTTTGACTTTGTCTATGTCAAAGGAACTAACCTTACAATAGCAGATACTTTGAGTCGTGCATATCTGAAGAGTGAGGAGGGTAATGTTAGTGAGAGACTAAGAATCATGGCATTAAAGAGTGACGAACCATGTGACATTCCTGATTCTCGCCTGAGTGAAATAAAGGAAGCAACAGAGATTGACGAGGAAATGCAAATTCTCAAGGAAACCTTGATGAACGGGTGGCCGGAGCAGAAACATGAAACGCCACAGAGAATTCGCAATTACTTTGACTTTAGAGACACTATATCATACAGTGATGGACTTATGCCCAAGGGGAAGCTGTGATTATCCCTAAATCTTTGAGGAGTGAAATGAAGGCCAGACTTCACAAGGCTCACTTTGGATATGATAGCATGCTGAGGAGGGCAAGAGGAACAATATTTTGGCCTGGAATGAATTCAGATATCAAGCAGTCGGCTGATTGTTGTTCAATATGTCAAAAAAGAAAACCAATGAACCAAAATGCTCCATTGATGCAGCATGCAGAAGGATCTACTCCATGGCAGAGAATAAAACTTGACCTGTTCGAGCTGAATGGAAAGCAATATTTGATTGCAGTTGACTATTTTTCTAGTTTCATCGAAATCGATTTGCTTACATCTTTGACAAGCTCCAGAGTAATAGCTTTACTCAAGAAACAATTTGCTCGATTTGGAATTCCAAATGTAATCATGTCTGATGGAGGACCACAGTTCGTAAGCCAAGAATTCCAAGATTTCGCAAAGAAGTGGGGTATCACTCACATGACTTCATCACCTATGCATCAACAAGCCAATGGCAAGGCCGAGTCAGCTGTTAAAATCATGAAGACATTGTTAAGGAAATGTGAAGTTGAGAAGACTGATCCTTATGAAGCAATTCTTGAGCAAAGAAATACACCAAAACAGGAAACTGGTATTAGTCCTGCAGAAATCTTGTTTAACAGAAAAGTGCGTGGCATGATTCCACATTTTCCACAGAAACTCGAGAAACCAGAATCTGATGCATTCATCAGGAAGAGGAACCAACGCAGACAGACAGTAAGGAAATCGTTTGACAGGAAGTCTCGCGAGCAGAGTGAATTGGACGTTGGTCAAGCAGTATTCTTCCAGCATCTAGAGGGACGCAACTGGAGACTCGGAGAAATCAATGATATTCTCGGACCAAGGACATACATTGTCAAGGACCAGAATGGAACCACTTATCGTAGAAACAGAATTCATGTGCGACCTACCGCTGTTCATTTCTACAGTCGTGACCGCTCACCGATGCGTTCAGTCCAAGAAAATAATTCAGACGGCATACAGAGAAACCTTGTAACAGACTCTAAGCCGGTGAACAATCCGAACTCTACCGTTAACGTACGTAAGCGCACCAGAAACACCATCCGTTGAACTTACCGTACCAACACCAAGTTAACGGATCCGTGAAGGAAGACCTGTTCGTGAAAGGAGAAAACCAGCCTATCTGAAAGACTATATTACTGGTTGATGGACTTTGTATTCTGAAATTAAGTCAAGTGATTTTCTAGTCATTTGTGTTTATGTAATTGCAATTGATCATTTTGTGTCTATAGGCCAGAAACTTACCAATTCAGTGACATTTTGTGCTAGATAAGTGCATTATTTATTTTATATGTGTAAAATGATGAAGGTCTATTTTGTTTATGAAATTTGATGTTTTGATGAAATTTTGACAAATTTTTAAAAGAAGAGGGGATGTTGATAAATGCTGTATACTGTATTTGGAACGGGTTCGGAATTCGGGTAGAGTTCGGTGTATGATTATTATGTTGTATGTGTAAACGCGGTAACTGGAAAAACCCGAAACCCCCCGATTTTTGGAGAATACCCATACAGGAGGGGTGAAACCCCAATAAAGTGGTGGAAACCCCATAAAATTGAATGTAATGGGGTACTATAAGGCCTAAGGTGATGTTTAATTGAATGATATTGACATCCGTAAATTTTTATAGCCAATTTTACCTCAGAATCGACGGGTTTCTTCTTGTCTTGATATACTGCACACCACGCCCGATCTAAATTCGCGATCGCTGAAGTTTCGAGTAATCCGTGGAAATAATTACTGTAATCTTGATCAATATGAATATTATATTTTGTATGAATATTATTTTTAATAAAAAATTATTTGTAAGGAAACCTTAAGAATATAAAAGAAGTATGAAATATTTATCATGTTGAAAGACATTACAGTGCAATGTTTAATTGAATTTTTTTTAATGAATCTAACTAGTCCATTAATCAAGAAATAAAGTCATTTTTATAAATTCCAATCATTTATAATATGTAATTAAATTAAATTAATTAATGAATGAATCTGTTAATGTAATTATTATAATGAAAAACATTACATTGAAATTTTTAATTGAATGGGTTTTTTTTAATGAATTTAACTAGTCCATTAATCAAGAAATAGTCATTTTTCTCAATTCCAATCAGTTATAACATGTTATTAAATTAAATTAACTAATGAATGAATTAGTTAATTTATTTAATTTTTAATTAAGGTGTTTGTTTTTAAATGTTTTCTTCTGTTTATTAATTAATTTTTTAAATTCAGTATTCATTCATTATTATTTTCCAGTTACTAATTTTTTGTTTTAATGTTTGTGGTTCTGTTTTTTTTGGGGGGAGAGTGTGTTGTTGTTGTTTTTTTTGTTTTGTTTTGTTTTGTTTTTTTATGCAAGTAATAGAAAAAATATACTCATTGATATGAGAAAGCAACATGTATCCATTACAATGTAATTATTAGAATCCAGGTCTATGAAATAAAAATGTCTGATAAAAAATAATAAAAATGTGCATGTTGCATATTCTTGTACAGTTGGTATTGTAACATTATTGTGAGAATATTATTCACACCTCAGCTAGCTCTGTTGTTTTGTACTAGTGGGATAGACAGGCACCCCGGTATGTGTACATGCACTATATACACAGCTGTTGACACTTGGTCAACTTGATAATAAAAAACTTTTGTTTAAACACCTGGTTTCCCAGCTAGTCTGACCAACCCCCCTCTGGCAGGGCATGTGTATATACATTGAACCTTTACTATTCTCAATTGTACAGTTATGCTTTACAGAATTTCATTTTAAGGACGTTAGCACACACATAAGGAAAATATGAATTTTGATAATTTTGATAATTCATGACAAATTATTAAAATAAAGACCTTTATGCTCTCCATTTATCTTATGCTAGACAAATGCCTGTATTGTAAAGAATGCGTGAAAACCAGTTCCCATTTGGTCCTGCAGCTTTGTTAATTTTTACTTCCTTAAAACACTACAAGACATTGTTTGATGAATATTGTCATTTATTATTGACGAAAATAACAAATATTTACAAATAAACTACCTTAACTACTAGGGAGATCCCAGACAAACATACATAGACTTATTGAGCACCTAATATCACAATGGCAGCGGGATCTCCCTAAAGTCTAAGCAAGACATGATTATCATTGCTGAATGTACATTTAGAAGATGGGAGATCACCAGGTAACATATATACAACAATGGCAGGGGGATCTGCCTGTGATATGAAAAATCAAAACAATGTAAAAATTAAGGTGGCATATACAAAAATTTTGCCACAAAATCCAATGACAATTGGATTCCGCCACCCAAAGGACAGAGAGGGGAACTGGAGACATGATGAAAATCAAAATAAAACATATTTACATATTGTGAGATCTGTAACAATTTAAATACAACATTAGTCTTTATTTTATTTAGTTGTAAGGTGGCCAGCAACACAAAGAGTCATAACAATATTTATATATCCTTAATAACAATAAATATTATTGCATGCAGAAAAAACCGTGGTGTATAAAGTCATAAAATAAAGGGGGAGGGGGTAGCATCGAACCACAATACTAAAAGAACAGGGGGGAGGGATAGCAGACTTTATCTGAACTACCGGGCGTTGAGGGAGGAACCAGACCTAATCTGACCTACCAGGGGTTGAGGGTGGAAGCAGACATGATCTGACCTACTGTGGTTGAAGGGTAGCAGCAGACATGATCTGACCTATTGTGGGTTGATGATGATGGCAGACCTAAACTGACCTACTACAGTTGAAATTAGCAGCAGACATGATCTGACCTACTATGATAAGGGTGAAAACAGACATATACCTAACAGTCAACTACATATGGAAACAATCAGGTGAAAATGCTCAATCACTTTTAACAGAAAATGAACCTATACAAATGTAACGCTTGACAGCATCCGACTTCCATCTACCCATATTTTGAATAGCATTTTCCGAAAAACCCTGTTTTGCTGCATGTGTAGCAGCTCCAATTTTAACGCATGTTGTTGATCGTCACAGCTATTAATTATTCGTCCAGATAGCACGAATTAACACTATCCTGTATCCAACAGCCAATCAAATTCGAGCAAAGGTTCATTCATATTTCAGAATAAATTACAAAAACGAAATACGAAATAAAATGTTCACAAAAGAAAAATTTATAAAATTTCAATAGAAAATAAAACATTCTTTTCTCTAAACAAAGATTTACATTATAAACTTCGAGTAACACGGCGTACGATCTATCCGTGAACGATCACCGGAAGAATTTTGGAATGTAAACAACGAAGAGACCAGGCATCAAAAGACCGTATTTCTTCAGCTTGTTTGGATGATTTATCCAATTCTTACTTGTGTAAAATTGTAATGACATGTTTTTCTGTTAAATATGCTCTGTTTGTTTGGATAATTCCACAGGAACCGTCATTAGCGGACTTGAATAGATGACGTGCGAGATCATGTAAGTATACTACACGCTGTACACTGTACATGTTTGCATTTTTATGCATATCTATCCCTTTATACAATGCTCTAATGTCTTAGAGCTAGACTATAAACATTTTATTGTGTTTAATATAAACAAAAATTGGGTGCGGAAAAAAGTAGTGTAGACAGAAGGGGGATAAATATTTACAAATACTCTGTCATATGATTCAATCAGCTATCAATGAGCTCTAAGACTAAAACAATCATATGTATTATGCCTTAATCAGGTTGTTACTCTTATCATTTCCCTGATAAGGTCAGAAAATAGTTTATTTTATTTCAGTGTTATTTATAATAAATGAATGTAGAATCATCATGACCATTTCTAATGCTACTGCTTAAATGTTTAATAAACTCAGTCAGCAGCGCACTTACATATTGTACATGTATGTATGATGTATTGTGAGTTAACATAAGTTAATCTTTTAATATTCATAATTACGGAGCCTGGATTTGCCTCCACTCATGCGTCATCACAGTATAAAGGATTTTAAACTAAAAAGTATTTATGATTTTATTTTTATCATGTATTTTTACATGGTCACTATAATACATATTAAAACATCATTATCTGAGTTGAGGTGACATGTCTGCAGTTTCTCGGAACAAGTGATTTTCTTCTTTCAAAAATCTTGAGAGTAAAACTGAAAAACAAATGTTGAATTTTTCTGGTCAAATGTTGTTGTTTCATAGATATTTTCCTCTTCTTTTTCATATTTAAATTTCAAGACCAAAAAAAAAAAAAAAAGAAAACCAAGAAAAAACATAAAATAGATTAATACAAGCAGAACATAGAGAAAGGTCACCAAAACAAATGTATTCATACTTGTTAGCAAGTTAACAAGATAAAATGAATTATAATGTACAGTCAAGTAAATTATGTTGAATAAGATTTTTTTTAATATTATATGACTGAGGTTGCAGTATAAAATTTTATTTTTTTTTGTGATTTCTAAATGCATTACTTCTGGGTGAGAAAAACTTTCTTAAGGTGAAATTAAAGTCAATTGTAAATGAAATTTGAAGGATAATCACAATCAAAAACATTTTAAATGTGTATGAAATGTGACAAAATTTACAATCTACATGTCTATAATGTTTTTTTTTTTTCAGGAAACCCTGCACATCTGCAGCTGTACATAATGCAGTTCATGCCATATGCTGTTAGAGTAAATGTGAAGTCAAACTAGTGTCAAAGAGTCCCAAGTCTGAAATCATGGTGCTTTTATAAGGAGATCAGTGTTTGTTTTCTGTGCATTGTTGACATTAGTGGAACTGTTTGGTTAATGTCCATTTCTCTGACATTTGAATTTCAGCGATTTCAATTTGAGCGACGGATAAGAAAGCCAAATTATATGCATGTAAAACATTATACAAATCTAATAAAAACATTGATAATCTTAAATTTAAACAAAGTTCATGAACATGTATCTGTGATCTTGCATTGAAATTCATAGATGCTGTAAATGGATACTTTTAATGACTTTGTCTCATGGTAATGGAATATTTGGTTGTTTAACATTGTCGATCAATCACTTTGAATAAAAATATTGTGAACTTGATAAAGTATTTTTCCTCATTCAAGCACTGATATTTTAAGATCAAATGTCAAGGTCAAATACAAAGTTTACTCAAGAATGTGTGATATAAATGCTGTAAATACTATGAATTCTTATATATGTTTTATAAGATCTAAGAAATATGTGGAGCATTTTAATATTTCTCAATCAGACACTGATTGACATTCAAGATCAAATGCCAAGGTAATTTCTTATGCATGTTTTATAAGATCTAAGGAACATGTGTGACCTGAGTACAATATTTATTACTGTCAATCTGTCAGATAATATCAATTTAGAAAATGTATTCTATTAAACATAAATTATTAAATTTTCACACATAAAACAAAATTGAAAGTGAAATACATTTGTACGGCACTGAGCTGACCATAAACTGAGAAGAAGCTGATGTTAAATGAAAAAAGATTAACATTTCGATTATCTTAAATTTTATTTAGCAACTATATATTTTGAATGTTTGAAAAATATCAAATACAACAGATGATGAACTGAAATTTTAAATAAGAATAAATTATGAATGAAAAAAAAATCATACATTCAATATTTGATATTATAAGGCAATTTCACATTTAAAATGTTTATATGTGAAAGTCAAGATATTCTAGATCTACATTTTGTCTTGTCTGTTTGGTTTATGGTTCAGTCATATCTTTTGTTTTAGAATTGCATACAGAAAACCTGTTATACAGGCACAGTTAGACTATACATGTTCATGAATTTTATATTCATGGTGCTCAGTTTAAGAAAAATAAAATTTTACATGAAACATATACTTAAAAATTATTACCGTATAGGCCTATGATTTTTAAAAATAATTAATTATAACACACCGGACGCAAGTCGCGATCCCGGGTCTCACGATCATTGTTAGTAGGAAAATTAAAACACTAATTGTATTTTTTCTTTAATTCTTCTGGAAGCCTAATTTCTTTACATATGTTTGCAAAATTAGAACTTGCCCTCGATTAATTACCACACATGGCAATGATAATCGTAAATTTGATTTGTGCGGTGAGTCGGGAATTATGGAATGCCGATCTCGATTATTTTTTTTCTTTTAAAATATATCACATTTAATTGAATACCATAACTATATCTGATTTTTTTTCCGGTTATTCTTTTTTTTTCGTTTTGTCTAACTAATTCCTAAATATTAAAAATCTGAGAGTTGCAGGATAGGATAGGATAGGATAGGATAGGATTAGACTGAAATCACAGGATAGGATTGTGGATACAGGATTCACGATAGAATAGGATGGATTTGTCAACTTATAGGATAGCAGCACTGTATGTTAATATCTTAATCTCAAGGTATATTGATACTCTGATAAGAAAGATAACTCTTAATGAAATATATGTCTATTACATGTATCCCTTTATAAAGTTGTCAAGTTAAAGTGTTTTGTACGATTTTTCTGCAAGCCATGCTATAATACTTTGTAATTGCATATATATTGTCTTTGAAAAATAATAAAGAAACGTTTTATGAGAGTTAGCAGAGGGTTTATGAACCTAAAGATATATCACAATGGAAAACAAAAACATGAAAACCAAATACAATTTCAGTATATATCTAGTACAAAATAAAATTAAATTCGTACTGTTTGAGTCACTGAAAACCATGTAGTTTTATATTGCAAATCGTTTTTTTTTCATATTATCTCCTTAACTATTACCACGGCACCAAATCTGTAACAGGAAAGGAGAAAATGTATGGCTGGACAGGGAATCAAACCCGGGACCCCTGTATCACTAGTCAGGTGCTCTACCGATTGAGCTATCCAGGCCGATATCCACGGCCCTAACCATTACACCATATTCGAATTGTGACGCCATAATTAAACTAGGCATTTTACCATACCTTCTTAAAATGCTGAATGACATTAATTTGTAGTGAGATTTTCTTTCAAATAAAACAGACAAGATGTATCATTGACAAAGATTGGGAGAAAAAACGTTTTCAATGAATTTTACCCTGGTATATGTAAATACGATATCTGTATATAAAAATTAACAAAGATTGTCGAATCTTTTTCTAGAGGGACCCACCCATCCCACCCTATTAAAATTTTGGGACTTTTTATTAGTTTAGAATAGAAATGTTATCAATTCTAATTACGTTACATTTCTGAATTGCCGCATTCTCTCATGTTTGATCACAGTCAAGCAGAGCAAAATAAAACTAAAACATTAGTGAACATAAACTCTGATTTCCTAGTCTAGCTGTAAAAATTACTCATTTATTATTACATATTACTTTTTCAGTTTCTTGTTTAAACATTGCACATATATGTAGATTTTAGCTTAATGAACAAAAGTAAGTAATAACAACAAATAATTCAAGAATACAAGATTAAACATATTTCGCTTATCTAGAACACTTAGAGATAAAAAAAAATGTGTACATATTCTTAGTGAAAAGTAATTGAAGTTTTGTTTGCTAATGATACACACTGTACCAATTACAACTGTCAAACGACAATACTAGGATTCTAAGCATATTTTCATTCCCAGTTGAGACATTAAAATTCAAAAAAGTTTTTCAGACTAAACAAAACATTTGAAAAAAAAATTGAAATTTTTAACACGTATAGAGTGTATAATTTTCAACCATATTGAAATATTAGACAAAAAGTTTTCTATAAATACTTTAAAATTGGTGGATATCTTCTCTACAATTTCCAATATCTAGTAAGTTCAGTAGTATCAATGGTATGCCGATCATTAACGGAATGCAAAGGACACATCAATTTTAGATCTTCGTTTGGAATGTCTTTTTCAGGTAGAAAATGGTCCTTTATATCGATGGCAATCGTTTTTTCTTTGTTCATCCGACATCTAAATCCTCTTACATACTGTATCTCTCTATGAAATGTTCCTGCTATTGCATTTAACAGCTCTTCTATTCTTCCTTGAATCAAGCATGTGTTTTCTGTTTCCAAAACATGTCCTGGTATCGGGCAAAATACTTGAAGTTGTATAGATTCTTCAGTGACGGATAAAACAATGTTGTGTTGAATGTAGGAAAACAAAGCAGCATTTTTGTAGAGGCAAGATGTTCCTTGATTTCGTAGGACTTTCCAACCATTTTCTTGCATACAAGCAACAACAAGGCGAAAAAACAAGAAAAATGGCAGAAAATCAAATTGGAAAACAAGGACAGATGATTTACTTTCCGATTCCTTGATGAGATTTAAAAGTTCTTTTTCAATTTCTTTACGATTCATACACGGAACATAGTGGGATTCTGTACCAATAGCCAGCAAACCAAGTCTTTGCATAAAGTTAAGGAGCGATACCTTGTGGCATTGAAGATATCGTTTATCATTCTCATATAATTCTTTTTCACTTTCGTAATCTCCGTCTTCTATATCGGTTAATTTTCCTTCTTTCTTTAGCTTTTCGAACAATTCTTCATCTTTGTGTTTCCAGATCTTCACAAGGAGTCGGTCTCGCAAATTTCCAGTTTGGTAATATTCATTCCAATCCCCTTGATTTACATGAATACCTTTGAAATTTAGCTCGTCTGTGATGATATGCTTGAAAGCGTCAATAAACCATTGAACATCAATTATTACTTTATCATCCAGCCAATTTTCATTAAAATACAGAGCTTTTCCGGCATCATGATAATATCTCAACATGTCTAGTTTTTCATTTTCAACTTTTTTAGAAGCTCTTTCTCCTGTATAAGTAATCTCTGGAGCTGTCATTGTTATTTCCAAGGTATTCATGATTCGCTGTACGATTTTTTTCTGATTGATTTCAATTCCAAAAAAAGACCATTCTTTTGGAATATTCTCGTTCCATTGATGATGGGAAGCTATGTTGAAAAGGCAAGTTTCCAGATCATTGAGAGGTAAATTCAATTCAGCGCAAAAAATTTTATCATCTCTAATGTACTGTGATAAGTAAGACGACTCTGGAATCTGACAGCTCAGGCTCTTCCTTAATTTATTTCTGTCCTAAATTTAGAAAAAGTCATTTCAATATAGTATATCGACTGTATTTTATTTCTTTCAAGATGTCATTTGGAATTAGTATGACTGTACTTATATTTTTTGTTTTGATATTCATCTGTCTCATATTAGAACTAATGGAGTTATTAGTTCAAAAGCCTTTCAAAATGTAATGAAAGGGACACTGATCTTTATGTTTACTAGTGATCAACATGGAGGGAAACTAAATCAATTAATACAATTTAAAATTTATTGGCCTCAAACGCTTGTAATAATAATAAAGGAATGACTCTAATTCTTGGCCAAATTATCGAGTATAACCTGGTTTGGGTCGCGAAGCGAATTATAAAAAAGCGTAAACTGACCCAAACCAGATTATACTCGATAATTTGGCCAAGAATTAGAGTCATTCCTTATAATTTAATTTTAAAATAATTAAACAACTTTGGATGTAAAATTGTGTTGCTTTTTACAAGTTCAAATTTACCGCGCAATAATACAACCTTAGTAACGGAAGTGATGTGAAGCGAGGGGAGGTAATAACTGATACATAGATCTAGCAGCCATGTTGTATGTTTACATGAGGTAAGATCGAGTAATTGTTTGAAATTAAAGATACAGTTATTTAATCTTGAATTTTCCATGGATTCCGAGGACTGGAAATGAGGGGATTGCATGGATACGTTGATTAAACTGGTCGTCAAGGGAGTGTGTTCCCATACCAAACCAGATTATACAAAATGTTCTGCGTTCCTTTTTGGAAATCAACCAATGAGAGGCGAGAATATAAACAAAATTAAATTATTTCAAATTATCCAAAATTTACTTTTTGTAACATCAATCTTATTGGTGTCAAAGTAAAAAGTATTCTATCTAATGCATTAGACATCAGAGTTAGGATCAGGTGCCATGTAGGAGTGAGCATCCCCTGCTGACTTGTCAAACCCGCTCCTTGTCATGCTCGGGTAATAACGGGAAAATACGTCGTCAATTCAGTGTATAAATAATGGACTAACAATTTGTATGAAAAATGCCGTCATCAAATGACTCAATAATAAATTAAGTTCATTGTATCTACCGTAGAACTTACGAAATGATGACTTTAAACAAGACTGCTGAAATTCTTGTTTCAACAGCTTGTTTGTCAATAATATACCTCGTTTTCGATTTTTTTTGGTCATAAATAGAGCATGTTTATGCTTATCGAATCAACTGAGATATATAAACTCCATACGCAGGTGATGAAGGTATATTGCTAATTAAGTAAGGGAAGTTGACGATAGAAATGCTAATGTCATCAGGTTTATCATAGAGTGTCAAACTTTGTGGTATATTTTATCACAAGCTCACCTGGATATATCGTATTGACATAAGAATGGGAAATTATCATTGATAATTGCAAATACGTCGTCGATATATTTAAATGTCGAGTTGAAGGCCACGGCAAGTGTAGGCCTTTCAACTTATTTTTCAAGTTGCACATATGGTAAAACACAGTGCATAGATAGATTTATATGTACATGAAATTATCAAAAAATAATAACTTATGCATACTTTTAATTAGATCATTAAAAAGTTTAATAACAGTATTTACGATGTACTTTTCTGATGTTGTGTTTTAAGGACAGGTAACTCAGGTGTGAAAAATGACCAACTAAGTGCCGATTTATGACTTATCGTTTATAGGAATGATGTATAGGCTGTTTCAGCACTGGCATTGTTATATACAAGTTCAAGTTCATTTATTCTCTCAAAACCATTTAAAATACATGGTGCATGAGGACAATAAAAATATTCACATCATAACTATATTCGGGTCAGAGGTATAAGCATATGATATACATAATTAGAAAATAGCAATGTGAGAGAAAGAAAAAAGAGAAAAAACACGTATGACACATGTATAAAATGAAATAAATCAGAAGAGAAATTATGAAAGACAGACTTAATCATATATTCTTTTAAATAAACATGCAGAGTTTTGTAAGTGACCTAGCATCTTGTTTTGTCATAAGTTGAGAAAATTTCAAAATATTTGGTCTAGAAAAGTAGTACTCATTAATATACTTTTTCCTGACTTTTAACAGTGCATTACATTCAAGTATAAAAATGAAATTCATCGGCAACATGTTTTGCATCACAAAGTGTACACAAATTTTTATTTAATGGTATACCAGCCCATCTTCCTAGCTCAACTAGTAGACGATGATTAGTAGTACGGAATTTGACAAGTATTCTTCTAAATTTTAGTGGTAAAAAACTTAAATAATTTTCACACTCAAAATTTGTTTTAAAAGTCTTATACAGAATACCTTTAGAAGAACTATTAATATCAGAATACCATTTTTGTATAAATTGATATTGTAATATTTGTTTAACAACAGAAGTAACCCAGTCTTGATTAGGATTATAATAAAACTGTTCATTCTAAATATGAAATTCCACATGAATCAAAAATACGATGAACACAGTTAATCCAAGGATTTTTACCAATTTCAGATTGTGAATTAGCAATTAAATATTGATACAATATACAGGAAGTTTTCTTATCTGTGCTATTCAGTAACTTACACCAGGACGAGACCATTCTTGAATATATAATTACAGAAAGTGGGAAACGTCCTGTTTAACCATATACCATATAATTCGGGGAACTACTTTTTAAATACAGAATATGTTTTAGAAATTTTAATTGTACACGTTCCATTATATCTAAGTTACACAAAAGGCTTCCTTACATTGTTGTTTTGTACACAAAAGTGTTGACCAAGAGAAAAAGAATGCCTTCTCTCTGTCTGAATTAAATAACAAGGTCAAATGAATGGGGAACAGACTATATTCAATACTTTTAAGTCTCTTTGACGATTACTATGAAGAAGAAAATTTAATGTCATTTTTATGTGTTCGCGCATTTTTGCTTCCTATATAAATTAATATATTTTTACAAGTAAATGCAACAATTGATCAGCTTATTTGTGTTACTAAGCACGAAGGGGAACGGCCGAGTATGAAAAAAAATAATTAGGTTAGAAATAAGAAGGATGGTAGATTTCACTTTTTATTTTAATCAATAATTTTAATCATATGTAGTTAAATGGTGTCTGCAACTATACAGTAAATAAGTTTAACATTGGTGTTAACTTTTAAAACCATTGGATTCTATTGAAAGCAAAGAAAAAAATGGGAAATGCTTAAAACTGCCTTGCATGTGAACAGTTGGATACCCGAGCCTGCTCTAAACAAGTTTCAGCAGTGAGTTATCGTTCATAACACCGACCTCTAGCGGTAGCTGAAAGGCCTAGCAAGTGTTTTCTTTTTTCATGCATAAATTTTGAATAAACTTTGCTTCATATGATGGTATCAATAAGATTAAGTTTATATTTAAGGTAAGTTCATGTCAAGGTCCTGGACATTACGATCAAAACATTACTGTTACAAATTATGCAACCCCTACTTGAATTTAAAAAGATTGAATGTTTTTATTTTTGCATAAAAAAAATACTATCATATAGAAACTTTAAGATGATTATACCAAATTGACCATAATTTAACTAAAATGGTTATTAAATAATCCGAATTTTCTGTACTTTTCTAGAATTTATTAATTATATTTTATATCCTCCCTATATTTAAGTTTTTCATATTTTCACACATGGTAAAGTTATAACTTAGAGATACAAAATGATGCAAAGACAAATAAATTTGATCGTGTCCTAAGAGAGAAAAATCTCTTTTACTGATTTTAGTTCAAATCTGCACTTAGATCGGAAGATTTTGAAAGCTTACAAGTTCTAGTTTGTTAGAAAAAAATAATATATAAAATATTTTGAAACTTGATTCCTTTATTATTAATTAAACTGACATTTGAAATTTATTCAAGTCTCTGATTGTATAAGAATAAAAACTAAATTCCTTGTTCTATATACACTGTGAGAGGCATAAAAGCAGATATTTCAAACGTCACTATTCCGCCAATAAAAATAGTACCTGCTAGTTTTCAAACGCAGTTTACTATTTCTATTCTAAGTTGCACAATCAAAATAAGGAAAGACAAATATTGTCTTTTAAATCTCTTACACCTAAAAATATTATATAATATACTCTGAATATATCATATAGTCAAAAGCCAGAGAAGAATTCTGCCTTAAAATAAAACAAGAGGCCCATGGGCCACATCGCTCACTTGAGCACTGTGGCTAGGAAAAAGTAGAAATTGGTTTATAATTGAATAGTTTAAATCCAAAAGTAGTCCCTTGACTTGACAGGAAGATTTTTAAAGATTTTTTTCTATGTAAAATTTTGGTTGTCCATTTTGGTCCCGCCCTACCCCCGGGGGTCATGATTTGAACAAACTTAAATCAACAGTACCTAAGGATGGTTCCATATAAATATGATCAATTATAGCTTTGCATTTCCTGCGAAGCAGATTTTTAAAGATTTTTTTTTTATTTTTCTATGTAAAACTTTGGTCGGCGATTGTGACACCTACCTACCCCCCGGGGATCATAATATGCACAAACCTGAATCTAAACTATCTGAGGATGCTTCCCTATATATAAGTTTTATCTTCCCTGGCAGAGTGGTTCTTGAGCAGAAGATTTTTAAAGAATTTTCCTACATGTTTCTATGTAAAACTTTGGTTCCTCCCTACCCCCGGGGGTCATAATTTGAACAAACTTGAATCTACACTACCTGAGGATGTTTTACCATAAGTGTCATCTTTCCTGGCTGAGTAGAACTTGAGAAGAAGATTTATAAACATGCCACCAAATTTTTATTAATTCCCAATTATCTCACCTTGAATAAGGGCCTGGCCCTTCATTTGAAGAAACTTGAATTCCCATCACCCAATGATGCTTTGTGGCAAGTTTGATTGAAATTGGCCCAGTGGTTCTTGAGAAGAAGTCGAAAATGTAAAAAGTTTACAGACAGACAGACGGACAGACTGACTACAGACAAAATGTGATCAGAAAAACTCACTACAGCCCTTGGCTCAGATGAGCTAAAAAGGTTCACTAAAATTAATTTTAAAATGCTAGAGGTTGTGTGAGCAAAGATATTTCTAAATAATACTCCCGCCTCTCTTATGTTTGTAAAATATAAAGCATCCGTGATCAGTAGATGCTGAAAACTGCGAATGCAACTTGGTTCAGACAGAAAAAATAGATTAAAAGGTTATAGAAATACAAACAAAAATAAATTCCATTAAAATGTCGTTCCAAAAGAAAGAATGTGTTAAAATTTCATGCATCTACAATAAGAAGTTGAAGGGAAAACTTCCACGGAAATTTGGTAAGGAAAGACAGTGTTTTTTTCGGCCAGAAAAATAGATAAGAAAATAAGGTGACACAAATTAGACCAGAAATGAATCCCGTCTTATGTAGCTGTAGTGCCTGATGAAAGAGTGTGTAAAATTTAAAAAATCTGCAATAGGTAGTTGCAGGTAAAACCGCTATGGAAATTTTGTTAGGACAAGCGCACAAGAAAACAGGTAGTTGACATCAGATTTAAAAAATAAACCCCACCATATGACATGCCTACACAAAGGGGTATATCAAAATTACTATAACGTTTGATGAGTGGTTGCTTAGAATAGTTTGACGAGAATTCGGTACGGACAGAAGCACTGATAAAGAGAAAGTTAACATCGAATGTGTTTAAAATATATAAAAATAATATATCTTACATGTACCACTAATCAAATAGTGTGCTCAAATTTCAATTTTGTACGATAAGTAGTTGCAGAGAAAAAAAGACAAATTGTTACGGACAGACACACGAACATGTTAGACACATGGGCAGACAGACACACAAGGTAAATCAGTATATCTCCTCCCCTTCGGAGATGTGTTATAAAATTGCATAAGTTTCATTGCATAAAATATTCTCACATGGAATTGTCCGTTTCTTTTGTCCCAATGGGTTGCTACTATCAGAACTGTGGGCTTTGGATCTTGTTCATTGTCAGAACCACAGTAGGTATGAATAGACTTGATCCAGAAAACAAAGTAATCTAAAAAAAAAAAATGCAAACGTTTATTATTAAGCATTGAATTCATATTTTGGTATTTGTTCGGTCCTATAACACACCTGGCCGTGTCGACAAATTGAATACCGCGCGTTAAAATGCTTATATTTATATTTTTCTAATTTTTATTTATCATAATTGTTTGTCAAAACAATATACATCTAAGTATTCCTAAATACTAAAAATACATGTAGTTCCTTCTGTGTAATTCTACCGCGCTGTGACAAGGTTTCGCATGTGTTATTGAAAGTTGAACGTCGTGGATTTCTAATAATAATAATAATAATAATAATAATAAAACTTTATTTAAAGAAGGTAACCTGGTTAGTGCATGCACTATTCTTCCCCAGGGCCCTCTATATATATGTACATATATCAAATACAAAATATAGACACTTCATCAAGATACAAATCATCATAATCACATACAATTAAGTACATGTTATATAGGTTTGAGAATTACAATCACTGAATTATGAATAGAGTGTTCAAATACAGACATATCTTAACAATAACAGTACAATATACGATATTGAACTCTTATTATGCTCAAATGATTGTACGACAGCTGATAATGTAATTTTCCACATTACGCTTGAATGTTCGTAGAGAATGAGAGAATCTAATGTGTTGGGGAAGTTTATTCCACAGATGTACACCTGAATACTGAAAAGAGGTCTTGAATAAGTTTGTACGAAATTTTGGTAATCTAAGCTCATAATTAGTTTCGGATCGCAGGTTATAAGAAGTTGAAGACTGAAATTCAAATAAATTACGAAGATATTCGGGAGTCATTCCACTGAAAATTTTGTATAATAATATGTATTTGTATAGATCAACTAGTTCATAAACTGTTAACCACCCAAGTCTCTCAAACAGTGGTTTAGAAGAAGAATCAGGACTTGCATCAAGGATAATCCTTGCTGCCCTTATTTAATGGATTTAACGTAGGTCGTGGGTTTACAGGGCTTTTAAATGTGTTCGAAAACATATCATGAAAATTACCTATATGATTTTCTCTGAAAATTTTATAAAATTTGTCTGAACCGTTTTTGAGTAATTGAATTCCAAAGATGTCACTGTTGTAGTAACATTTTCAAGGGTATTCTATAGAATTGAGAGGAAAAACGTCGTTTTTGGCTTATTTTCAGGCAAGGTTTGATTCAAGAAATATTAATGACTTTTAAATAGTGCAGACGAATTTGTTTATCCTTTCGTATTTAAAAATAGAAATGATTTGCAATAATTCTATGTTAAAAAATTAATATGTCTTCGGGCTCATGTTGTCGTAATTTAATTGAAGATAATTGCTTTTATATTGAAAAATGTAGCATTTTTAAGAACGTCATAAAATATCGCGACGTCACGCTTGACGTCGTGAATATCGATCCGGTATACAGAGCAAAAAAATTATACTGATTTAAAGAAAAAGGAAATTCGCGTATATCTGCTTTCAAATGACCAGTATCATAATTATAATTATTTTTTTTTTATTTAAGTAATTGCAAGACATATACACCTCTCTCTCCCACTCTCATACCTGTTGGAAAAATACAAATACACACACATTTATAAACATCTAGTATACATACATAAGGTTAGATAAACTTCAATAATCAATATACGTATAATATACATGTACATAAACATAAACTTACGCAATATGCAATGCATATTCAATCAGTAATTATATTAAGAGTAACTATTACACACATTAAAAAAGACACTTCCACTTGGACCATCTATTTTTGTAAAATATATTTCCTGACAATTTTTCTTCTAAACAATAGTAATTATTTAAATATTTTAAGATTTCATTAAAAACAATATTATTGTTTTTTCTTGATTGTTGAAATCAGTATTTCTTCACTAGTAGAATAATCAAATTAATTGCCATATGATCTTCTTCAAAATTACCAACAATAACAGTTTTGACATTAAACACAATTCTTGTACCAGACTTTTGAAATATCAAATCTGACAATGCTAACCAAATCACAGAAGCCTGTGGACAAATAAATGTAGAAAAATAAATGCTTGATTGATTCTGGTTCTAAGTTACATATTGAACAAAGTGGTGAATTTTTTTATTTTTGACAGATATAGGTTCTTATAAGTACCAATTATTCTATTGATAATTCTATAATTGAACCACATAAGACCTGAGTCTTTTGTTGTCAATTTAAAGTTTGCATAAACATGTTTCCAATAAAAATTTAACTCTAATTTTAGATCAGTATCCCAATTGTTTTAACAAATACAGAGGCATAGTCACAAACTTAAAAGTGAGGGGGCCCAAGTCCAGAAATTCTTTGACAAGCAAAAAAAAAAAGTGAAATTTCCCCAAACTCGAAAATCCTTTTTCGTGGGGGGGGGGGGGGGGGGGGGGGGGAACAACTTTTTTCAAAGGCAATTTACTTTCCATTTCAATTTTTTCACCCGCATTCCCTATCCCAAACTGGTGAACACATAGGTCTTGACGATTTACTTTCTATATTACATTACTATATTATGCAACTATATTACTTCAAGAGAAATGCTTTCTCAGTTGTTGTACATAAAAAATGCCATAAAATGAGGTTTAATATTATTTCAAAATAGCTGTGATTTTGTTCTTCATTAAAAAGTGTGTGTGTGTGGGGGGGGGGGGGGGCAACGAACTTAATCTTGCACCCCCCCCAACAGATCTGAAAGTGGGGGGGCTAGTGCCCCCGCTGCCCCCCCCCCCCCCCCCCCCCGTGACTACACCTATGCAAATAGGTCTGTGCTGTGTTTTTGACATTATATAATCATAAATATTTCTGGATCCTTTTCTGTATTTTTTTTTTTTACAAATTCCGGTTGATATGGTTTAACAAAAGTATAATATAAAATTTAATATTGTTTGATATTTGGCCATGCAGTCAAAATGCTTTGCTTCAAACCTTCATATGTGTAAAAGGTAACTTTACAAAATAAGCATTTGTGATGCTTTCATAACTAATAAAATTGCCTTCTGTATTGAATAAATCATGCACTATATGGAACCCTTTATTGAACATTGGTTTACAAAATACATACTTATTTTGAATCTTTATTTTATTATTATACCACAGTGGCTCACTCAGTGAATATAAATTAAAACTCTCTATAAACTCACTAAAATAAAACAAGAGGCCCACGGGCCTTATAGGTCACCTGAGTATCGTGCAATAACTTTCAAACAATGAAAATTGGTTCGTGTTTTAGACGAGAGGCAAAAAAATTCGCAATTCACAATTTTGAAAGAGGCACCATTGCTTATCATTATTATAAACTTAGCATGCTTACACTATTTACCTAATACCAAGATGTAGATCAGAATTACAAAGAGAAAATGCACTTCCACTTTATAAGCAGTTGTGCACCTCACCCCAAAGAAACCACTGACAGTGGGGCAACATTATGTTTCAAAATTTTGCAAATTTTATCATAAAATGGTTGATTAATACTAAAGAGCAGATTTCAAAGCATAAATTTATTTTCAGACTTTGACCCCACCCCACCCCACCCCCCGACCAAGGGGGCAAAAAAAAACCAACCATTTTGCTAGATGCACATTTCTTCATCATAAATATATATATACTTGGATCATTGGCATAAAACCCAGGAGTAAAGGAAAAGATTTTCAAAGAATTAATGCATTTTCACTATATAATCAATAGAGCCCTGCCCTAATAAAAGAACCCCTGATCCTGGGGCCATAAAATTCACAATTTTGGAAGTTATACTCTTGCTCATCATAACTATGTGTTTGGTGAGTTCATTTAATACCCAGAAGCAGACAAGAAGAATTGCAAAGAATAAATGCATTTTCACTACATGATCAATAGAGCCCTGCCCTAACACCAGAATCCCTGACCCTGGGGCCATAAAATTCACATTTTTGGAGGAGGCATTTTTGCTCAACATAACTATGTACTTAGTAAGTTTACTTAGTAAGTTTAGTAAGCTTACTTAGTACGTTTACCCAAGAGCAGAGAAGAAACTTTCAAAGAAATAATGCATTTTCACTATATACTCTATATAGCCCCGCCCTAGCACAAAAACCCCTGACCCTGGGGCCATGAATTTCACAATTTTGGTAGAGAACTTAATGCTCATTATATTCATGCCAGCAGTTTGCCTGCTTGATGTCCAGGAGTAAAGAAGAAGATTTTGAAAGATTGCAAAAATTTCTGTGGTTTGGCCCCACCCCTCAGGCCCAAGGGGGGTGGGGACCATAAAATTCACAATTTTTGTTCCTCTTCACCCAAAAATGCTGTATACCAAATTTGGTTGAAATTGGCTCAGTGGTTTCAGAGAAGAAGCTGAAAATGTTCAAATGTTAACACACGACGGACGACGACGGACAAAAAAAAGATAGCAATAGGTCACCTGAGTAAATCAGGTGACCTAATTAAGTTTCTTTCCAAGACATGTTTTGTGTGATATTTGCTCTTTGTTTACAATATTCAGGCCAAATACTACATAACTTGTTAATATTACATAAGATTAAATAAATGTTTCTATATTAGTCATTCTAAATCCACCATTTCCGAAATCCAGTTGCAATGTTTTTCGAGAAATTCTTTTAACTTTATTTCCCCATATAAATTTACATAAGGTTTTTTCGAAAAGCTGTATCCACTGCAAACTAGGTTTTGGAAGGTATGTAAATAAATGAGTGAACTTTGATAGGAACAAACTTTTTACTATTGTTATTTTTCCTGAAGGGGTAATATTTCTCTTTGACCAATGGTTTATTTCTCTTTGAATAAGTTTAAACTTCTTGTCAAAGTTAAGTTCCTCCATTTTTTTTTAGATTTGCTGTATATGTTATACCAAGAACAGTAAAAGGTTCGGTTGTCCATTTTAATCCTGAATCAGTTCAAATTGTATTTTCTGTGTCAAATTTAGAGTCAATCCAAACTGCTTTTGTTTTAGAAACGTTAGGTTTTAAACCCGAAATTTTTGAAAATTGAAAA